AAAATAGGGTAAAAAAAAAAAGTAAAGCAATTGGAATATAATTCAGATTAATCATGTGTATGGGAGGTGGTAAAGGGGATTATGACCAGGTCTAACAATCCGGTGTGGCCAATTTCGGGCCCACTGATTGATACATGGGAAAGAAATGGTGAACTATTGCCACGACCAATAATGCAGTGGGACCAATTGCGGGCCCAGTTATTGTTGTACCTATACAGAAAAGAGGTGCAAGTCCAACCCTGCAGCTAGAAGAATTCCCCACTTGACCACGGGCTTCGTTTGTGGAAATTTTTTGCAGAGTTTTTTGTCTTAATATTTTATTTAAAAATATAAATTTATATATTTTTTTAATTAATTTTAGTATTTTATATATTTTTAAGTAATAAAATGACAAATATTAGTATAGTATAACACAACACAACAAACAACACCAAACTAAGCCATAAATTGTTTAGTTTTCTTTCCGTCTTCCTTCTTTTTCGCTTTCAACAAATGGTTATAGTCATGGTGTGGTCATTTTTAATTTTTCTCAAGTTACTAAAGTTATCAAATTTTTATTTTAATTTAATTATTAAAAATAGTTAATAATTAATAAAATATTTATTATTTATTATTTAATAGATAATAATTAATTTATAAAAAATAATTTTAAATATTATAATTAATGATTTAAAAATTACAAATTAATAAAATAATAAATAAAATCAGTAACAAATTAATATTCTTAACAAAGAAAAAAGGACTGATCAGCAATTGACCGTAACCTCAGCCTAGCAAACACTTTTCTGCAAGAGTTGCTTTCAAACAAAGCCCAAAAGTCTAAAATGCTGTTCTCCACTTGCTTATTTTCCAACTTGTTCCCAACGTATACTTTTCAGCCTTTTGATTTTAGGTACAATGCGGTGATACCACTTAAAATCTCAAATTCTATATTTTCCCGCAGATTGCATCAATTTAGTAAAATCTACTGTATATACTGCGATATTTACATTTTACATTGTCAAACCTTCTGATTGAAAAAGTCCAAGTTCTAGATAAACTAGTATAATTTCTCAATCCACAGAAATTTTTCTTCACCATATGCAGGAAAACTTAGATGTGCAGTTTTAACTTTCAAAATTTATTAAAATATTAATTTAAAATTA